ATTTTCAGATCTTCCAAGGTGCCAATTATGGAACTCTCTGTGCATTGTTGCCCAAATCTAATTCTGGAAGTGATCATTCAACTAGATCTGTTACAAAAGGACAACTGATATTACCAACTTTTAAAAACTGTTACGGCCAGAGGTCTTTCTTCTACGTATGTTTATACTAAAGCATGGAATGACATTCCTCAAAACATAAAGGCCATTTCAAAACTACAGCCCTTTAAGAAGAATCTTGTCTGCCATCTGCTGGACACTTTTTTGTTGTGCTCATATTTAGATGTCCTATTTTGCAAATACTGCCTTCCTGAAATTTGGTATGCTTGTTTGTCTTTGAGTGTTTTATGTGCTGCAGAACAGGAACCTGCAGTTAAACAGCAATTATGCTGAGTCAGGCTTGATTTTTAGTAATATTTTCCTGTTAAATCAATAAATCAAATCAAATCAAATCAGTCTTTAGGAAAGTGTCAGAAATGAAAAATAAATCTGTCTGAAAAAGGCGAAGATGTTGGGTAGGGCTGAGGAAAAAACATGCATTTTAGAAGAAAGTAACTAGGATTTACTTAGAATAACTACACTAAATAAATGGTAACTACATTAACTTTGTTTTTATGCAATTAAAGTCAAATTAAAGACTATTTAAACAAAACCGTTTAATACAATTTATCTTATTGCCCACCACTGAGGGTGTGAAGTGTTTTCATAAAGTAATCACTGGATCAAAAAGAAAAAAAAAGTAGGTCGTCTGGATGGGTTCTTCTTTAGTGAAACGTTTAGTCTCTCCTCCAAGACACTTCCTCAGTCTGATAAGTTTCAGGTAAAAGCCTTGTAAGTCCTGCCTCCACCTGGACAAACAGGTCAGTCACATGCAAAAGAGGGCCATCGCCTAACAATAGGCTTGATTAGCTCTATTGTTCATAGAGGGTCATGTGCCCCATCATCTGACCCATGTCGTGTTATGTGTATGTAGTGAATGCAAGCGGGGGTTCAACGTCCCCTTGTTTTTGTCCCTCTTTCCCTCTTTGTGTTGTAGAGATGGGATAAATGGCTCTTTTGAAGGGATCCAGATCTTGGGGAGCCATTTGTTTCATAGAGCTATTCGATTTTGAACGTATTACGTCATCATGTAGGAAAATACGTCATCACATAGCCGTACGTAATGACGTCATCCCGTCACGTGGGTGGAACCATGGGTTTGTCAAGCGGAAACCCTCCTTCCCCTCTCACCGTGAGCTTCTGTACTCCACAACTCCGCCTGTTTTCCATGAAAAAGCAAAGCGGGAGCCATTTAAGTATGAAAAAAAATTATATGAGGAATAAAAAAATAAAACTACAAATGTCTTGTTACTGCCCGCAATCCGGCTCCTATCATTTGTTGTAAAGACCCGTTGAAAAGATTCCGCTCGTTCGTGAACGTCACATCTCTATTGTATTGGTATCATTGGGGCCCTGATTCACACCTTTTGCTCACAGGGGCTGAGTCATACTTGCAATGACAGCGTTGTAGGAAGAGGATCATTGGATGAACATCTACAACTGATTATCTTTTTCACCATTACAGATATTAAACTGAAATTTGATGTGGTAGTCGCTGAGCATCATTCCCAACATGTACTCCTGGTGCTACACACTACGCAACATCAATGCTAAAAACTTCAACATTAACTAGTTAAACTAAGCTAATCAACCTTAACTAACACAAAACAGCTCAGAACTCACTTTTACAGCTAGTGAGCTGACCATTTTTATCCCATATGAGCTTACATTATCATGACATCATTTTTGATGTTCATAAGGTCTGACCAGAATGGTCCGAGCCCGGCCCCTGTTCAATATAAGATGACCGTAACCTAAAACTCCAACATGAAAGGTGCTGGGTGATATGCATTCCTTCAATCAATGGTATTTCACCAAATCACAACAGAAGTCATCACAGTGCGCTGTACAAAGTCCACATCACAGCTACTCACATCTGTTTCACTTCAATTATAAACACTTCAGTCCAAATAAAGCCCAGTATGGTCCAAATCAGTCAAATATAAACTGCCAGGTAGTAAAAACAATGTTTATCAAAGAAACTTTTCTTCGACACCAACCTGAGTGAAAACTAAAACTAAAAGTGATTTGTAGAACATCAAAGTTCAGAAACAGTGAAGTCTGACTGGGTTTTGTGTGCTTGTGTGATCCAGAGCAGCTGAACCGTATAGAAGACGGCATGAACCAGATCAACGAGGACATGAAGAAGGCTGACAAAAACCTGGATGACCTGTCCAAGTGCTGTGGTCTGTGTGTGTGCCCCCATGACAGGTACACTGCACGCTCCGAGGGGCTCAGACCCCACTGTCACCACAGGACTTTTACACAATGCTTTTACTTTGTAATGTCCTAATGAGCACCGCCTGCAGTGTTTACAAAACAATTAGCTGCTTTTTAACACTTCGACCCCTTTTATATTCTGCTGTTCAGCACTTCTATGATGCTGTGCTTTTATATGAATGTAACATGAACCAGACCAGAGGAATATTTAACATCTAGTTTGCTTTTAAAGTGTGCCTTTATTTTGAAATGATTGCTGTGCAGTAGTAAGAACATGTTGGGCTGTTTTAATTTGTGTCAATTTGAAGATAAAAGGTGATTTTTAAACACTAAAACAAAAAATCTTCCTAAAATGCCTTCGCTTGGGAGAAGATCCTTTGATTATCACAGTATAAGGTAGGGAATCATTTCTCTTTGCTGCTTTATTGATCAGCCTCTGCAGTGCTTCATCATCATCATCATAGTTTAGAAGGATTGAATTTAAACTTTCTGTGTGAGTTTGAGGTGACGTGCACGTAGAACATCTGGTTTTCTTCTTTCATTCCAGGGTTAACTCTGTGGAGAATGACCAGCGTTACAAGCGCACGTGGGCCACAGGAAGTGAGGAGGGACAAGGCGGAGACTCTAACGTGGTCTCAAAGCAGCCTTCAGCTGTTCGCAACGGGCAGACAGCCCAGGTGCAGGCGCCTGCCCCCTCAGGTCCTTACATCAAGAGGTGGGTTTCTGAACACTGTCCTCAGATACATCCTGTTTATAGACAAATTACAAACATGAACAAACATCCCTCTGATTTGGTCTGCAGGATAACCAACGATGCACGGGAGGATGAAATGGAGGAGAATCTGGATGCGGTCGGCAGCATCCTTGGGAACCTGAAAGACATGGCTGTGAATATGGGCAGTGAAATCGACAAACAGAACGTTCAGCTGGACCGCATCAATGATAAGGTGAGACTCTGAACATTTTTAGACCATTTCTGCTGCATCTGATTTTGTTATCCACGTGTCATTAGTTAGGATATGCTGTTCTGGTGCTGCCTGATAGTCTGTGCGGACAGGTTGTTGTTCGAGCTCTAAACTGAAAACCCTGACATAGACCAGTCAAACTGCAGAACAGGACACCTCCTGGGTGCAGAATACATTACTATTGATTTTGAGATTATGAGGTCAAAGGTCACAGGTGACCTCTTTGTTAAAAACTTTTCTTCTCCAGTGCAACATCCCAGCAACAAAGTCAAACTCTTTGTACTCAAGGTTGTCTCCATCTGTCCGTCCATAAGAGTGTGTGTGTGTGTG